AACTTTGGAACTAAGTATTCCAATTCATTCTAAAAATTACATCGGACCCGAACTAATTATCCCGACAAGTCATATAACAGTTATAAAGTACATAATGAGCAGTAAATAGAAAAATATGGCTACAGCTTTTAAAACGACTGGTCGGGTCGTTACAATATTGATACACATTGCCTTCACCTTTTGAAAGATTATTTTGAGAATCTTTATTTTTCTTCTTTTTATAATTAACATAATGATGACTATTATTATTTTGGTCTTTGCGCCATTCACGTTCATTTGTCAACCACTTATCTTCATTAAGACTTATTATGCACTGTTACTACATTCACTTCAAGAATAGATCAAATCAAGTGGGACAAACTTTATGATTTTTTTCATGAAAAATACATTATTATTTTTTTAGTTATCATTATATCATTAATATAATGCATTGGAACTCGAACTCAATGTCTTACCCATATAAAGATATGTTATGTTATAATTAGTTGGGACACGAACCCAACTTTTGTGTCATCATAGTGCACCAGGATTAATAATCTCATGACATACTCTCACGGTGCGTTGGGACTTGAATCTACCGTCTTGCCCTCAAAAAATGACATTATAGGCCAAAATATACCGGGACTCACCCTCAAGTCTTTAAAAATATTCCTACTTTTATTAACTTTGCCGAGTCCAAAAATGTCTGCTAATGTAAGATATTCAATCTATTTGATATTTCATATTTGACCAATGAAAAGTCAACACATTCATTAAAAAGGATTTTAAAAAAATAAAATTTGAAAACATAATGATACCAAACATTAAAATTCACTTGTGTGAGTTAGTCGGTAATGCATTCGTGGATGAAATAATGATGTAATGCTTTTTCAAAAATTGTACCCACACCTATGACTTATCAACTAGTTGTATCTAGTTGCAATTGTGAAAGCAATTCCTATTTCAAGTTAGTGAGTTACTAACGGAAGTTGAAGAGTTCATTAAAATCTTTAAACTTATTTAATCATATACCCAAATTATAAAAATGAAATAATTCAATATCATGTATACTATTGGATAGAAAGTTAAAGACTTTCATGTTTATTTACTAATCGGACATATTCTATGAATCTTGATTTGACATCTACATTTTCTTATGATTTAAAAAATCATAAAAATGCAAATCTGGTGAACGGATGTGTTAGAAATGCATGGGACGACTTAAACCTTCCTTCAAGAAAAATATATTGTGCAACTATATCATTTTGGACAATAGACAAAATGAACATGCATACCTCTATATCATTTTGGACTTCCGTTAGCCATGCTGATTAAGAAAACGAAAATCAATCTGTGTTGATGATGGCAATAAAAGTAGAGGCTCGTGCTGATAACAATATAAAACAAGAAAATAAATTACAGATGAAGAAAAGAAGAGAACTGTCTTTATCTTCAAGTGTTCTCATATGTATCAATATTCATGATTCTCAATACCTCTATTTATAGGATGACATTGGGTAATATAAAGGGATGCCATAAACATAGTATTAATCATTGAGATCATGGAGGAAAATCAAAGGAAAGTTATGGACCGGAGGTGTGAAATTTACAACCATAATGATGAAAAGTAGTGGGAGGTTAATTACATACGGGAGAAAAATAGCGGGAGTAATTTTTTTAAGAGTTATAGATAATGACATCCACTACCATAATATAATATTTCAAAATACTTTTACCTTTGTCATTGTTTTAAGAAAAGGCGTACAAGCCATCCCCATTTAGTTGGCCAACCCTAAGAATAAATGGACGTTTTGGGTCCAAAATGTTTTGCCTACTTAAGCGATTTTGAGTCGAAGAAGGGGTTATAACTCAAACTCGTTTAAAATTGCTCAGAGTCAAAGATGAGTTAATTTAATTTGACCTAAATAATAGTTTGTCATTTTACAACTTGTCAAGCTTAAAAATTGCAGGTTATGTTAAGTCTAGTAGGGGTTTAAGTTAATAAGGCAAGATGATCCTTAATTTGTCACTATATATATTTTTATTACGTGCTGAAAGAATTTGTACTCTTTTGACAGAGTTAAAAATCGAGGGGATAGATGGAATAAATCCATTTTATTTATTGATACGATGGAATGATAATAATGATTAAAATAACTCCTTTTTTTTTTTTAACTTAACAATAGTAGGAGTACTATATTTAAACTTACAAGTGTACCATCTTTCCTGCCCATTTCTATTTTTGTTTCTGACTTCAAAACCAACTCAATTTGCAAGGAATTTGGGTCCCTTTGACGCAAACAGCCATGTTTCACATGCATTCACAAATAGTCGTTTTTAGGGCAGCTATTTAAAATATAACCGAAATTTTACAAAGTACTTAAAAGTTAACCTTCTTCAATCAAACATCACATTTCGGCCTGAAGTTTGAACCCCAAAACCTAACATATTGCAATCATCAAGTTAAGATTCTTAAATTAAAAAATAATTAAACATGAACGGCCAAAGTCTAAAATGTTAAGAATCATTTTCTTCACATTCTTAAAATTAGAATCAACAAACATCTAAGTATAGTTAGACGTTTGAAAATACAATTTTGAAAGTCAAAATAAATTTGAATTGTGCTAAGTTTCTGTACCAAAATTACTTTTACTGGAATCCATATGATTGGATTGTGACGTTGATTTCATTTTGCAATGTGGTTATATTTCGTGTCAGAAAAATAATTGTTATTTCCTTGTTTTCGTAGTCTCCTAATAAGCTCCTAACATGGTGAATAAAAATTTTATGGAACAAAAATTAGTTTTCAGTTAAACTTAGATAAAGTCAACTTATGAAAGTACATGAGTGAGAGGAAAAGAACTAAACATTAGACTTATATAAGTAGGTATAAATTTTCTAACTTATTTAAACAATCCGACAATCAAAGACTTATTAAAAATTAAGGAATATTTTTGTCAAATTGAAATTTTAAGTTTTGCCATCCCCAGATAATAATAGTGACATCACCTTTTTCAACTTTTATATTTTTTAAAGTTCGTGGCTGGGGTACACATGGTCAGAAGTGTTCAATTGACCACCATTCGTCGAAAAATTACATTGTAAATAGGTAAAAATTAACCACCCTTCGTCGAAAAATTACACTGTGTAAATAGGCAAAATATTACGTTTTAAAGGTATATAACACATCAAGCACCCTTTGTCGAAAAATATTTTTTACTTCTTTCAAATTTGAACACCCTTGGAGGAATTACTAACTTCGCCACTGGGGTGAGTCAATGACTCATAGTTACGACACTTTCCCCTTATATTTTTGTTTTTTGGAGAAAAAAAGGAAATCTTTATAAGTTGGAATTTGATGTTTCTCTTTCAAAGAAATAATATTACTGCTACTTCTAACTAATCCATTTCGCGGGACGTCCGATTTTTTTTAGAAGGAAGAAATGCTTGTATTTTTAAACTAGTTTTTGAAACGTTTTTAATACCTTCATAAATTTATATCAATTTCTTGTTCCTATGGGCTTATTTAAATCCCGTCTGTCAAGATATTACGCAGATATTGTTATCAAAAATCCTATTAAAAGAAATATCAGTGCCGACACTACACACACAAAAAAATTCGGTGCCCCACATTCCCACATGATTTTGCACTCTTACTTAGAAATTACTATTACTATAGATGTCTTAAATATATCAACTTTGGAACTAATTTTATTCCAAAGCCTATTATCATATAAGCTATGTAGTACAACACAACAAAATTGTAAACTTTTCTTATAATTATTTGCTGAAGTTTCTATTTTTATTATAGTTGTGTGAAAAAAGTAAGTGTAAAAAATATATGGGATGGAGGGGTGGGAGTAAAGAACCAAACTCTACCAAATAAAACTTGTGCCAATTGCCAATAATCATAGCAAAGAGGAGAAAACTGAAAAGCCTACGAATTAAGAACTGTCCACAGGGCGGCAAAGATTCCATAAGCATTCTAGTTTTCCCACTATTTTAAAATCCAGATCACACCCTAATAATCTACTTTAATAAGTCATTATTAGTCAATTTAATACAAAAGAAAAATAGTTAAAGAAATATGAAAGGTACTAATGCCAATTCTTTAACAAAATCTTGCACTTTTTCCACTAATAAAGAAAGAGAGAATGAAGAAAGCTTGGCTGGAAAGGCTAAGAAAGGGACCCACCATGCCAACCTTTTATTCCCATGAATTGGACACTTGAGAAAAGATTTCAACTCCAAAAGGGCTCACAAATCTCCATCCCCACCGCCCTAAATGAAAGGAAATAGATTTCCCATTCATAATCTTTAGCCTCCCCCATATGACTAGTCAGTCCAAAAGATTGGTGGTATTGCGAGCAACTTGAACAAGGCAAAATGTAAGGGACCCCATCCATTTGAGTTTTTTCGTTACATTCGCAGGTCACGTAAATGATAACTACGGATAATTATTCATAAAAAGTGAAATTAGTAACCTAAAGCAAGATAGTGTTACAACATGTTAAAATGTTTTACAGAAGTCAGATTATGTAAGTTAAATCCAGTTAGTTTCCAGGTGTTCCACTGGCAGCTAGCTTTTTAAGTTCTGTACATCTCATTTCTACACCTACAATCCCCATGCTTTACTTTTTGATCCCCTCATTGACCCCTTTCAGTATGACTGGCATTTCAAGAATTCCCCATTTCAAATCCTTTCCCTATTCTAAAAGCCAAAATCACTGCAAAAATTCTGGAAACTTTTGGAAAATCTTGAAATCAATAGTAGATCAAAATGGGAGAAGAAAATCAGAGTGTGGCCAGTCTTGTGGAAATGCAAATTACAAGTTCATGTAACATTGTCAAGAATTTGTGTAACTCTGTGAAAGTCCACAATTTGAACACAACTTAAATTCTTAAAATATTATCAAGAATTCTGGGAGAATCTTAAAAGTCTTTAACATAGTAATACCTGCCTGCAGCCTGGTGCTGAATTTGACAGAAATCCCAGGTGGTGAAAAAGTTAACCTGAAAAAAAGGAGAGAAGAGAACAGGTGAAAGTAGCCCAGTTAAGATGGGGTAGCAAGGGCATTAAGTGGGGCATTTCTGTAGTGAATTTAGATCTAATCATCTTTAACCCCCCATTGATTTAAGAGAAAGTAAAGCCAACAATTATGCAAAAAGACACTGCCTTCACTCACATATTAACTATACATTAATCAGACCTGGTCCAACCCACACCTCTTTGGTAATGCACAGCATCATGACAAACACCCTGGCTTTTCAGTGCATAGCACAAGTTATAGATAGAGAATAAAATCTTTAAACAAAAACTATGATCTATTTTATTAAGGTATCAATTTGAAAATGATTTTGCCTGTAAATTTAAGCAATGTATTTGTACAAATAGCAACCCAAAAGTAGCAGAAGTTTCTGTATCTCAAAGCTGTATAGGTGCCAAGTCAGCATCCTATGTGGACTTGGTAGGATCAAAGGTGACATGATGTGGGGAAGGGGGTGACTGCTCTGCCTTTAACTTTTGAGTTACCACCATCTTCATTACCTCTGCTTTTAGCCTGCCTTTGAAACATTCTTTTTCAACATTCTTTTCTTACTTTTCTGTTTCTACATTCATCCATTCATCATTTCCTTAAGAACACCACATTCTCCATCAAATTCATTTCTCTCCCCTTCTTCCTTTTCCCCTCAATATACCAATTCATCAGTCTCTTATTACAATTCTCTTTTGAGTTCCATGATCAGATAGTCTCAAGTACTGCCATGGTAAGACTTCTTTATGATCAATATTTTATGTTCTTCTGTTTCAATTGATGTAGGAAATATTGAATTTTATCTTTTGTGATTCAGGGAACTCCTGTAAACATCATAGTTGGATCCCAAGTGTGGATTGAGGATCCTGATGATGCTTGGATTGATGGAGAAGTTACAGAAATTAAGGGGTCAAATGCTACAGTAGTCACAACTAATGGGAAGAAGGTAAGCAGCCTTACTCTAATCAATAAGTTCAGAATCTCACAGAAATTTGATATTGGTAGCATCTTTCAGAGAATATATTATGATTGCAAAAAATGCTGTCTGAACAATATTACAGTGCCTAATCAGAGTCATAGTGCATATTATATGAAAATTAGGAGCTTATTAGCTTTTATAAGCTTATTGAAGCACATAGTCTGGAACAGAAGTTCCAAGCAAATGGGATCGGTCATGGAACAAATCGGACGATAATAGTTTAATATAATCAATCAGATATAAAACATCAATATACCTGTAGGACAGTTTGTGCAGCTTTTCCTTTTACCTTAAATTGAACTATTATTGATTTTCATGATAGGTATACTCTACCATGAACATTTACAAATGTGCTCTGTTGATATTTTTAGGATGCAATAAACATAATTTCTACAAACTAATGTTCTTAACATGTGAACAGCCAAAATTTATTTATATTAAGCCATAACACTACTTTCTGCTCCAGACAGTTGCTCCTATTTCTAGCATATACCCAAAGGACACCGAAGCACCACCAGCTGGGGTTGATGACATGACCAAGTTAGCTTACCTACATGAGCCTGGGGTTCTGAATAACCTTGCCTGTCGGTATGCTCTAAATGAGATATATGTAAGTCATACTTTTCAGTCAATCGTCAACTTCACGAAGAGTAGCTGCAGAAAGCAAGTCTTATTGATGTAAAAATATCCCAATTTCGCAGACTTACACGGGAAATATCCTAATTGCGGTGAATCCATTTCGGAGACTTCCACATCTGTATGATATCCATATGATGCAGCAATACAAGGGAGCCCCATTTGGAGAGCTAAGTCCACATCTTTTTGCAGTGGCAGATGCCTGTTATAGGTAAATCAGAAGTTCAATTGAAATTATTAGGTTATACCACACATTAAACGGATGACATGCCTAATCAAACAAGTTTAAACTGCACATATCAGGGCATTGATAAATGAACACGGGAGCCAATCTATCTTGGTCAGTGGAGAGAGTGGAGCTGGCAAAACTGAGACAACGAAAATGTTAATGAGGTATCTCGCATTCATGGGTGGGCGCTCTGGAACTGAAGGAAGAACAGTCGAGCAACAAGTTTTGGAGGTGGGCACTAATTACTATTTAATACTACTTATTATACTTGAATGATCTACTACTAGAGTTCAATGCAAATTCATAGTTCTGCTTTTCCAGTCCAACCCAGTTTTAGAAGCATTTGGAAACGCAAAGACTGTGAAGAACAACAATTCCAGGTAAACCAAAAAATGACATCAAAGGTTTATCACTATCATATTTTGGTTTTCTTTTCATATTTTTCCCTTACAAGAAATTGACACAACTGAGTCGTCGTACCAGTCGTTTTGGTAAATTTGTTGAAATTCAATTCGATAAGCATGGAAAGATCTCTGGGGCTGCAGTTAGGACATATCTTCTTGAACGGTCACGTGTTTGCCAAGTCTCAGACCCAGAGAGAAACTACCATTGTTTTTACATGCTTTGTGCTGCACCACCAGAGGTGAGTTCCATAGGACAACCCATTTGCAAATTCTTCACATATGATATTGAGCTGCCATCTAGATGATCTACGGAATCTTTTACAGGATGTGAAAAGATACAAACTTGGAGATCCAAGATCATTTCATTATCTAAACCAAACTAACTGTTACGAAGTTGCAAACGTTGACGATGCACGGGAGTATCTTGAAACCAGAAATGCTATGGATGTTGTTGGAATCGGTCCAGAGGAGCAGGTGTGTGCCCCGAACACAGAAGCAATTGGAAAAATCCCATTATGCACCAAGAATATATCTAAAACAATTACTCATCATTTCTGTAGGAAGCTATATTCCGTGTTGTAGCTGCAATACTCCATCTTGGAAACATCAACTTTGTGAAAGGAAAGGAGTTTGATTCCTCCAAACTAAAAGATGACAAGTCACTTTTTCATCTGAAGACAGCTGCAGAGCTATTCATGTAAGAACTAGGAGGAATATACATTGGATTTACCTCAACTCAGAACTCAAGGCACTTATACTTTCAATTAATAAACATGTGCACAGGTGTGACGAGAAGGCACTAGAAGACTCACTTTGTAAGCGTGTCATTGTAACTCCTGATGGAAACATCACAAAACTACTGGATCCAGCAGCTGCAACCACAAGCAGGGATGCCCTGGCAAAGACTGTATACTCCAGATTGTTCGACTGGTAAGCAAATATATAGAATGTGGATCCCAGATTAAGCCTCTCCCTGGCTGCAAAACTGTCTCATGAGAGGGGAATCTTAATACTTACTAAGCAAAAGATTACTTTCTCGACTGAAAATGATTGGAGACTTACAGCATTAACAGCTAGGGAGAGCAAAAGTTACAAGTGCATTGCTGAAAAAAAAAAAGAATAACCAGTTATCTGATAGACAGTATCATTTGCTGCACTGGACTGTGACTTCATATATGTTGCAACTTCTTCTTAATGAAGCTCTAAATGATCATAGATGCCACAAAAGATACATAATTATACCAAAATACTAAAATTCTAAATTCTTGTCACTTTAATTCTGATTATAAACTGGAGTAATAAATAACTGGGGCTTCTCATAATGAACATAAGAGATTCAAAGAGTAGAAGAGTGATCAAACAGGACTTAAAGATCATGGAGAATTTTCTAGCTGAAATTGTTTATTGAGATTGAAGATGTTATATATGTTCCAAGCCTGGTTTCCGATTTTAGTTTCACATTTTGAAACCAACCAAATGTAGTCCTTTGTACCCTGTTGACATGCAGATAGTCAATGATTGGAGACTTACAGCATTAACAGCCAGGGAGAGCAAAAGTTACAAGTGCATTGCTGAAAAAAAAAAAAAGAATAACCAGTTATCTGATAGACAGTATCATTTGCTGCACTGGACTGTGACTTCATATATGTTGCAACTTCTTCTTAATGAAGCTCTAAATGATCATAGATGCCACAAAAGATACATAATTATACCAAAATACTAAAATTCTAAATTCTTGTCACTTTAATTCTGATTATAAACTGGAGTAATAAATAACTGGGGCTTCTCATAATGAACAGAAGAGATTCAAAGAGTAGAAGAGTGATCAAACAGGACTTAAAGATCATGGAGAATTTTCTAGCTGAAATTGTTTATTGAGATTGAAGATGTTATATATGTTCCAAGCCTGGTTTCCGATTTTAGTTTCACATTTTGAAACCAACCAAATGTAGTCCTTTGTACCCTGTTGACCTGCAGATAGTCAATCTCTAGACGAATGATAGCTGCTTGCTACGGAGAGTCAGTATCATATTAGTCTAAAAAGGACATATTCGAGTTGATTAGCATTATCCAGCATAAGACTAGATTCAACTACACAAAAAACAACATTCAAAATAAAATCCTTTTGACAGCTTCTACGTGGCAGGCTTGTGGACAAGATAAACAGTTCAATTGGACAAGATCCTGATGCAAAAAGCATAATTGGCGTCCTTGATATATATGGCTTTGAGAGCTTCAAAATCAACAGGTTTGGATACATGTTTTTGCGAATTTTGAGTATATAAAATCTTTACCTCAAAATTAACAGCTCGTTACATGCTTTACCTCAGTTTTGAGCAATTCTGCATCAACCTAACAAATGAGAAGTTGCAGCAGCACTTTAACCAGGTAAAGCATGAGAACCTTTATTCACTCTTCAGTGCCTTAATTTTTCAGTCCCATTTAGAAAAGTAGAAAAATTAAAAAGAAACACTGTTTTTACAGCACGTATTCAAGATGGAACAAGAAGATTATACGACAGAAGAAATCAACTGGAGTTATGTGGAGTTTGTAGATAACCAAGATGTTTTAGATCTTATTGAGAAGGTACCCTCATTCTGACAACAGACATTTTTGTCACTTCATTTTAATTCAACAAGCAAAACTTAGATAATTTTGCATCATATGTGCAGAAACCTGGAGGCATTATTGCTCTTCTTGATGAAGCTTGGTAAGCAAACTTCCTCTTTTCAACACCATAACTACCTGTAAAAGTAAAATTTGCTAGACACAGTCATTAAATTCTCAAAACACAGTGTATAACTTTTTTTCCTGAATTATGAATAATGACTAAAGGAGAAGATATAACTCAATTTATTTCTTGCACAGTATGTTCCCAAAATCAACTCATGAAACATTTGCCCAAAAGATGTACCAGACGTACAAAGCCCATAAGCGGTTTAGCAAGCCAAAACTTGCTCGTACTGCATTTACAATCAATCATTACGCTGGTGATGTATGTAAACTTGATATTTCGTCATTCAATTGTCAGTCAAAAAATCTTGGTCATCTTAATTCTTGGATCAAACAGGTTACTTACCAGGCAGATCACTTCCTTGACAAAAACAAGGACTATGTGATAGCAGAATTTCAAGCTCTTCTGATGGACTCTAAGTGCTTTTTCGTAGCAAAACTCTTCCCTCCATTGCCTGAAGAATCGTCCAAGCAGTCCAAGTTCTCTTCCATCGGCACGCGGTTTAAGGTAAGCCTATCAACAGGACAGAAGTAAGTATATTTACTTAAGAAAATCCTATGAACCTGATTTATTTTCAAACCAAACTTCAATGTACAGCAACAATTGCAATCTTTAATGGAGACCTTGAGCACTACAGAGCCGCATTACATCAGATGTGTAAAGCCCAATACAGTTCTAAAGCCAGGAATATTTGAGAACATGAATGTATTAAACCAATTAAGATGTGGGGTAAGTTAAACTCTTCCATATCCTTTTTGGTGCTTTCATTTTCTCCTCTCGATCAAGAAAATATGTGATTCTTCATAGCTCTCTCTCTCTCTCACAAACCTTTTGTGAACAGGGTGTTTTAGAGGCGATCAGGATAAGTTGTGCAGGATATCCAACAAAAAGAGTATTTGATGAGTTCCTTGACCGCTTTGGAATGTTAGCTCCAGATGTTCTTGACGGGTATATATCACAATCTGTTGCAACATGGTTTCACATCTTAAATCCTTTTCAGGAAGAAATGAATACTGAAAGATTGAGGCAGGGAGCAGCGATGAGTAAAATGCAAAATGAGCTAATGTTTCATGGGAAATATATTATACACTAGTAGTAGTCAATACCATATTTGCATCAAACATACTTCTTTAGAATCATAAACCTTTATTGTATGTCCATGAATAGCATCAACATACTGATAAATCACATGCTAATCCCCTTTCATTGAAGCAGATGTGATGAGAAGTCAGCATGCATTGCAATTTGTGATAGGATGGGCTTAAAGGGTTATCAGGTACTAAATCTAGACAAAAGAAAAAGAAAAAAAAACTAGACTGTTGCCATACAACTGGACATAAAATTGCATCTTTCCATGGTTTTGTTCATGACTAAGAGTCTTCTATGTACTTTATTCAGATCGGGAAAACCAAAGTTTTTCTCAGAGCCGGGCAGATGGCTGAATTAGATGCCAGAAGAACTGAAGTTCTAGCTCATGCTGCAAGGCGCATTCAGAGGCAAATTCGAACACATCTTACACGAAAAGAGTTCACAGCCCTAAGAAGAGCTACTATTCATTTCCAGAAACTTTGGAGAGGTAACTTGTACACCATTGATACAACAATGACCACCAATTTATGGTTAAAATCAAAAGTTTCAGCATAACACTGAACCTCAAGATTGGCTTTAGTTCTTTGCATACATGCTGATTTGACATATTCTAGTTTGGCATATTCTGATTTTTCCTAAAGTAGGGTTCCAACTATTTTTCTTAACATTGATATTACAAACATGTTAATCTACACAATGCTACATTAGTTTTCCCATTTTTTACATAGTGTTCTGGTTGCGACTTTGAGAAAACTTCTCTGTTCTACCTACTCAGCAAAACTTGCCAGAGTGCTGTATGAACAAATGAGAAGGGAGGCTGCTTCAATCCGCATACAGAAACACGTGCGTTCTCATTCAGCAAGAAAATCTTACAAGGAATTGCAGGCAGCAGCTGTAGTCATTCAAACAGGGATGAGAGCAATGGCAGCACGAAATGAATATAGGCAGAGGAGGAGAAATAAAGCAGCTAAAATAGTTCAGGTAAATAGTTTGCACCACAAAAGTGACTTTCAATCCTAAGTTCAGTCAGCTGACAAACTTTATTTCAAGGTAAACAGAATAAGAAAACCACATTTAAAGAGGGACCAAGTCAATTTTGTACTGTCAGTATTTGCTTCCTGAAATTAACCTTCTGGAAATAAATTGAGCGCTAATATGAAGAAAATCAGAAGTTAAGACCAATCTTATTACCTCGGATCGACTGTAAGACTGATTATGAACAAATAGTATCACCTTATTTTCTTACTTTTGTCTTTTTTGCAGACTCAATGGAGAGGATTCCATGCCTTTTCAACTTATAAACAGAAGAAAAAAGCAAGTCTTTCACTTCAATGTCTCTGGAGAGGCAGGTTGGCGAAGAAGGAGCTTCGAAAATTGAGGATGGTGAGTGTTTCTTGTTTAGTGAAAGCATTGGCATTACTGCTTATTCAAATCCATTGAAGTGTCAGTAGCTCTGCTATATGTTAACTGGCATTGAAAATCTTGTCCAAGTGCAGGCTGCAAGAGATACAGGGGCACTTAAAGAAGCGAAGGATAAACTGGAAAAGCGTGTCGAGGAGTTAACGTGGCGATTAGACTTTGAAAAACACTTGAGGGTATGTACAATCAATTTGCTTTGCTCTAAAAGGAAACAGCATAACAGCCTAAAGTACTCCAAGTGGAGTTCTATAGAGCGACATAGCGAAGGCCCAAGAAAACATCATTATTGCTTCACAGTCAACCAGAATATACGTACACGAATGCCTAAAATGAACATTTTGGATTGCACTAACACTTGGGAATGCTAGAGAATTTTCACTTACGAAGAAATGTAGATTTATGGCAATTAGATTTTCTTATGCTATCGGTAAACAGTGAATTCTTTTATGTCATAATAATGGTAAGAAAGAAAATATTGTGTTTCTCCAGATTGATCTCGAAGAAGCAAAGGGGCAAGAAATTTCAAAATTGCAAAAAGCCTTACAAGA